ATTTTTAAATAACCGTGTAGATAGAAAACAATTAGTTCCTTACAAAATGTAAATTGTTAAAGTCCTATACTCTATATGCGAATTACTTTTACTAAAAACTAGAATATTTATATCGAGTTCTTAGGTTTTCGCGATTGTTACACAATAGGAAATAAAACTATTTTTCCGGATTTAAATCGCGTATATTTGTTTTTTCAAACAAACAGTCACAGTTGACTGAGGACGTGGACCTGTAAAGGGTCCGAAACGTTGGTTTGTTTGAAAAAACAAATATACGGTGTTTAAATCTGAAAAAATAGTTTCATTTCCTAGAATATTTATGTCAATAGTCAACCGCAACAGATTCAGAGTCCAAAAATTATCAGTATTTCTATTCAAGCGCCATCCGCGTTGTTTCATTATCATTTTCATTCCTTTGTTAGATTACGGAGGTATCTATTAGTTTGTTAATTTGTTTATTTAGAAAGACACAAAGGGCTGTACATCAAAGACTTAAAGATTGGGGAACATTAAAAGGATGAATTTCGGTTTCTGTAGTGAGGTCCCTGTAATGCTGGCACTGTTTCCCCTTTCATGGCTGTACCTTGGGCGCTGTAGCAGCCAGCATTTAGATCCTCCGCAAAAACGCGGGAACATTTTATGTATACATGTATTTCGTAAATATATTAAAACAAAGACATCATCATTAATTGTAAAGTTCATTATGGGAAGTACTGTCACTTTACTTATTTCTGCTGCCAAGCAGTAATGTGAGCATTACTGCGTTTCGGTTTTGGAGGGTAAGGGTGCAATTAGAGGCACATGGGACTTGTCAACTAAGGTCTCAAGGTGACGTGCGCAGTAACAGCGCCCTTCAGATCTTTGCGATTTAAGCACTGCAACTATTATAATTAGGCGTGCCGCTTACTATCAGGTGCACGCTTGTTTGTCCCGTCATATTGTAAAAAAAAATTCAAAAAAATGAAGATTTAATTCCAAAGCATAATGATCTTTGTGACACGTTGGTTATTGCAACGATAATGAGCTAACCGAAAAGCAATATTTTGGTACAATTACATGCTATACTCAAAAAATATAACTTGATTTGTCGTCGATAGCCGATGTGTACGTACCTATACCTATACCTGCACGAATATTGTGTCGATTACATTGCGTAGACACTTAAAACGGCTATTGGTAATGAATTTTTTTCCGATCTAAATCGCGTATATTTCTTATTTTCAGACAAACAGTTAGCCGTGAAGTTGGGACCTGTAAAGGACTTGAAAAATAGATTTTTTTTGAAAAATCAACAAGAAACAAACATTTCCAATGTATAACAATCGCAAATACCTAAGAATTCTATTTATTCACAGCTATTTTAAATAGCACAAGAATCTTAAAACCGCGTGCAAATTATTAAATTAAACTAGTTTTTTTCACTTTCTCAAATTGTTTTTGAGATAATAGTAGTATATAATAATAGTATAATAGACAGCAAACAGTAACGTTTTATAATAACGTATTAAAGTTTTCTGAAATATCACGATTTTACGCGTTAAGCGTTTTAAAAGTAACATATTGATATTTTCTGATGTAACAAACTGATAGGTATAATTAAAATTTTGAACAACGTGGCAATATAAAAAAAAGCTAATATCTGAAGGATATTCAGAATATATATTATTCTGAGGATAATATAGTATATATTCTAATTATATTATATTATAGAAGACAATAAAATTTTAAGTTTTTACTTTCAAATCGGTTGCTCTTTGCTGTCGTCGATATCACATCGTTTTGCATGAGAAGTCAGAAGAAAAGTTGCAAAAGATGTTTACTTATGATAAAAATGCCTTTTCAGGTTACCCTGTGTTCATTATTACTGAAGCATATACCAATTTTCTTTTCAATTTTCATTACGTTCCTCAGAATTCTTATTTCACATTATTAACATTGTCATTGTATGTTCTTACTACGAAAGTGTTAAAAGGGCTTTTTTTGTATGAATAAATTCGTCATTAATCAAATGTTTTATGTACGACGTTTTCTTTCGAAAGCACTCTGTAAGGCAGAAAATCTTTGTTGAATACAAAGAATAGGCTCAGTATCTAAGTAAAGTGACATTCTTTAAAAATCTGATAGGTGCTTAACATTTAATGTTTGTTTGATTGATGTTCTCAAAACATTAAAGAGTATTTAAAAAAGAGATTAATGTATGAAGCTGAAACCGTCTGAACTGACCTTTTTTAAAAAATTTACTTGACTTTAAATTACCTGTCATAAAAGTTTTAAGTTTAAGAGGATTCGCTCTGGACCTTTTAGAGGGAAAAGTGTCGTTTTTATTTTGACTTTCAATTATTTTGTGAAATCTAGTTTAAAGTGGAATAGGATAGTGCTATTGTGCCTTAATCGAAGATTAAAACGCAGCATATAGTAGCAGGCATAGATGCGTGGAATTCGCACACCGTATTCCAAACACTTAATATTTGCTGCATTGCAGGTAAATAACACTGTTTTTGTTAGCATTATAAATCTAGCTCTGTAAAATAAACGTCGTAAATTCTTGTAGCTGGGTTTGCATTCGTTCATTACTATACGGTGGAGGGAATGTAGGCTTCGTTTCAGCTGGAACGCCGCTTTGCAGACCACGAGGAAAGCACGCGGTTGTAGTACGCGCACGCGCTGTGAGCCGGGCGGCGTTGCAGGTGGAATGCCACCCTCTCACGCCCCCACTTACCCACCTGCCTCAGGCTTCAGCCCCACACCTCCACATGATATTAAAACCTGCCATATTTCACAGAATCCAACGAGTGCCGTTTATGCTCCTGTTCTCTCTACAATCAAAGAGTCAAAATTTAATTTGTGACGTCGACTACATCAACCGGTTCATTTTTGCGAAAACAAATGGATGTGATGGCATGAGAATTTGAATTCGTTAACCGATTCCCATTCGGAATGGATTAAAATTTTAAACGGTTTTCGAACATCATTCAAAGTACATTCGAGTACAGTGAAATTGACAATAATTGTTCTTTATACAGAGCAGTTTTTATCTTGGCAATGTCTGCTATTATCAATGGTGGTTGGCAGAGGGCCAAGTGCAGAGCAAGCAGTGGAAGGTTCAGCGAATCTTGAGCTCTTCCTGTCAAACAAAAACAACGTCTTAAGGTTGAAATTAATCTCCAGCGTTCTAATTGTTGATAATTTACGACTCCTATAATATCATATAGAAACAGGTTTTTACAATTGTCATCGATTTTATAAAATTTTTTGATACTCATCTATCGCATCAAAGTTACTCAACTTAAATTTTAAATAACTTGATTATTATTACAAGTGTATCCAAACAACATGGCGGAAACTTCGTTTTGCAAGATAAACATAATTTAGCTTTTTATATTTTTGCTTCTTTAGGATAAATTTTGTGATAGGTGATTTATGATTCCAACTTTCACATTGACAGTTAAGTCTGGAAAGCAAAGCAGTGTAGCAGTTTTGTGCTTATATGTACATATATGCTATACCTACCTAGATAAAATAACTACGTACTTAAGTATGTTGGAAAATTTTGGCCTGCGTCCAGAAATTCTACTAGATATTCTTACAAATGCGCCCTCATCGGCCATTCCCCTCTGTTGTCAGAAGAATATATTGAATTATGTATAATCTGTTTGTTTTTCTTTTGTCTTTTCAGTATTTGGGACAAGTATTGATACAGTCAATTATGAGCGCAGAGTGTAGAGTTCATGAAGTGCAGCCTATAATAGTAGTCTACTTAACAAGTACATAAAAATCTACTTAGACGAGATACACTCTGTTATTCATTTCCTGCAATAATAATATAAAAATAATATTTATGATATATTAAAATGTAAAAAATGTTGTAACTCTCGCTCCCTCTCCTCCCTTTTAACATTCATTTTTCATGTAATGTGTGTGTCCGATTGAACAACTGCTTGCTTAAATGCAAAATAGCTTATTCTTTATCAAAACTACAGTAATTTGTGACTGGGGTTTAAATTTACAACGTTATAATATGTTTCCAATAATCTTTTTTGCACCTAGCTACACAATGTGCTGTTTATTACGATTCTCTATAGAACATATATTTTTACAGCTTCTCACGGTAAATGAATCCCTGGAGCTCGCGAAATGGACTATCGATTGATTTTACCAAGAACGTACTAAATATTGTGACGTAAATAATCTATCTAAAAATGAAGAATGCTTTGTAGCACGAATAAGCAAACATGTTTGAGGTCGATGTACTTATTAGTTCGGCAGTGTGAAAGTAGGGATGGACTCGGGCAATAGGATTACAGCAAACGTCGGATTTATACTGCGGATTTACGAAAATCCTATAGGACAAAAAGGATACCCGCAGTATTAGAGGCAATGTTTGTTAATGTCCTCCATTTCGTACCCTAATAACCAGCTAGCTTGTTTTAAAATACTTTATTTGTTTAGACGTTATGAGGTTCACAATTTAGTTTGTATGGCGGTTTCTCCTAAGATAATTTTGTAACATTTCTGCCTTCCTTGTCATAAACGACGCATTTGTATTCTGGTAACTTTTTGGCTAGTTTCTTTTTCTTTGAAAAAAACAATTACGTTTGTTTTGCTTAACAATAAAACGGAAACTAAATAAGATATAAAAAAAACCAATTAGAGGGGGTCGTAGAGCTCGTTTCCTGGCGCTGGTTCCAGATATGTTAATAACACTATTTAGCTAAAAATGTCCATTACGTTGTTTATAATAAAGACGGCAGATTTGAACTCAGCTATCGATCAAGCTGTGCTAAAAGTAGCTTTTTAAACTGTACATAAATAAATGCTATTTTTAAATAGCAGGTAACGTACAGTGTTCAACAAATAGATATGACCTGTGTGTACTTAAGTTGCTTTCAGAAAAAATATATTAACAATTATTGCACATATTGTACATATTACGTTACGTGTGTTATGGTGATGGATTTTACTAATTTTAATGCTATTTTTATTTCACGCTAACCTAACAGTGGCTTTGAAATGTAAGTATATAGTATTGTAGTCGATTTTTAGTATGTAATGCCCTAATGTGGTTCATTAGGCAGCCAGCACACGTCGTACTCGATGTTTACGTGTCCTGAAGCCGAAAATTCGGCGATACTTGAAGTCTTATTGATTTAATGTGAAACAACGCCATGGTTAGTGGCGCTCAAAGAATACAGTCGTCTGCTGGCGGCCTTACGTTTTCTAACATACTAACTTTGGATATAAAATATGTACGAGTATGTACCTTATAAAGAGAATTTCTTTAATTGGGCTATTGTCTCAATTCTCTACTTAAAGGACACCCAACGTTAAGACGTATATAGGTTAATACAGTACATACAGTTAGCCTGAATAGCTATATCTGTACTAAGATTTAAAATTCGAATTAATTTGTGACAACAAAAATCTCATGCCGGATGTCATACCAAAGATAAGCGCAAATAGGACTATGCTAATGCCAGTCCTATTGTCGGCAATAAACGACAAAAGAAACATTTACATAGCGTCTCTATAGCTTTTGCCTTACAACATTTGAAGTAAAAGCAGGTACCTATATTGCACAATGCCGATTTATATATTCTGTAAGGCGAGAAACGCGCTGATGGCATAAGTGACAGAACACCGTGTTTTTGACGTATTGTGATCTGTATCAACCCATACATGTTTTTCTGCTGGGTATGCCTCTTACATAAGAATAGGGTGTAACCTCTGAGATACATTTATCATCGCTGAAAACATCATTTTCATATTTAAAAGTGTGACATTCGAGCAGACCAATCAAAATATTGCGTGAACATCACGTGAAATGTAGGAATAATTTCGAACTGGCCAATCACAAAGTTTTTATCTTTTGTACTGCATTCTTTGCGTGAATGGATTCATACAAAGTAATAAATGTTTGAAATTTGACTTCAATGTGAATTTATATTCATGCGGAACGGAGTGGAAGTGAATTTTTGTACATAGCTTACTGAACTTTATATCAATTATGTATTTAAATAAAGCTTTTAAATTTGCAAAAGCAGCAGGCAAAAAAATCTAAACGGTCATCTTTTTTATCTCTGTGACATAATAGTTGTATGTTATGCAAGGCTGCAAAGTTGTTGTTTGCCGCGAGTGCTTGTATTGAAACCTGAGCAAGCGAAGGAAGCTAAGATTGAGCGAAGAGAGTGGTCCAAATATAGATTCCTGAGCGTAGCGAGGGTTTCAAGCCACGAGACGCAAAACAACTTTGCTGCCGAGCGAAACACGCAACTTTTCACCTCACTATAGCGAGGGAAATAGTAGATGAAAGAAAAACAGTTTAATTTAAAAAACTTTTTATATTGAAAAGAAAATGTTGATCGTTCGATGCGTTCTGAATTTACACCTCATCAATTTTTATTCTTGCTTGACATACTTTTATTTTGTGTAATTAAGTGATTAATGAAATTATTTTAGTTCTTCGACGAATTAAAATAATTTCATAAACACAAAAAGTTATCATTGTTAATTTAATGTCAACAATAATAAGAATGAAATATACCAACGATTTATGTTACATAAATAAATAATGTACGACAATTCGCTTAATTGAACGATCCATTATGTTTTTTTTCATCGAAAGAAAAAGTTAGTGCATCACAGTCCATGGTCAAGTTAGAATTTCAAAAACTTTTCCACGATAGCGTGCAAAAAACGCTTTTGCGCGTAGATTTCTAATGAGAAAGAAAGTCTTTCCGAGCTAGTGAGGTGAAAAATAAATTAAATCAATCGATATTTTAATCTGTTCTGAGCTACGCAAAAAATCTTTGATTTCTATAAATTAACTTTGATAGGAATGAAACTATTTTTCCGGATTTAAATCGCGTATATTTGTTGACAGTCAACCGTGACCATGGGACCTGTAAAGGGCCCGAAACGTCGGTTTGTTTGAAAAAACAAATATACGCGATTTAAATCCGGAAAAATAGTTTCATTCCTATGTGTAACAATCGCGAAAACCTAAGAACTCGATATTAACTTTGATACTTTTATGTTGGGCCTAAAAACTAAGACAAAATAGCAATAAAAATAAAATTTAGATTCTTGTTTTTAAAACTAAGTAAATGTTGATCATATTTGTATACTAATATTGTATTAATTATAATATAATTTGACCTGAATATGTGTTCGGAAATGCAAGCAAATTGGCTTTTGACACTCTCCCGTGGCAGCTTGCCACGGCATGCTCGCTTCGCTTGCTCGGCTCGTGCTCCTTTTTCATACACGAATATTAACCTAACCTAACTATTGAATGGAGGGCGCAACTAAGCCACCAAGATTTATTAGCAGATCAATATCAAAATATATACTGGGTATAAAGGTCATCACGTTATAAGAAAAGCCCAACAATAAAAAAGAAGATCAAATGTTATTAATTTTTTAATACGAAATATTAATTTAGTTTACTAACTACAGTTAATTTATAATTTATCCGTAGAATAACTAGTATAGACGGAACAAATAACATAATACATACATAATATCAAACATAAAAAAAATCGTTTATTTAAAAAAAGCGCGCATTTACAATAGATCAATTATGTATTTGAGGATCAAATAATATTATCCCATTGTGGAACGTACAAACTAGACACGTGCCACAAAACTGATCGCGCGTCTTCCCGAGAATTTTCGAGAAGTCTCGGGAATTTCTGCAGTTAGTGTCTGGTATCTAGTTTATATGTTAAACAATTGACATAAAGTTGATTATGTACGTACAATTTTGTAACAAAAATCCACTTGCAATCCGCTCCTTCATGTAAATTAAATTTTAAACCATTTAAAATTAAAAAAGAAATCACCGGGAAAGTTTTGCAATTTCATACGGCTCGGTCAGCCGCCTTGGATCTTGGGAGACGCTTAGGGTTTTTTCTAGTAAGCCCTTTCAAGGTTTATAGACTATCTCCTTTTCCCACGTGTACTTGTCACACACCTATCTAGAGTGTGACTGCATAAGTATATAAATTAAAAAAAAAGTAACTAAAGAGTAGTACTATCACTGTCTAAGTGTACAATACTATTAATTTTTTTGTAATTAAGAAGCCGGAATATAAAGATATTATTATTTATACAAAGATCGACCCGACAGGACTCGAACCTGCGACCACAGGATATCATCCCATCGCTCTTCTAACTGGGCTACAGGTTGAGCTAACAGGTCGACGAAATTCTATGTGTCTCAATTATAGATCTTTGTGTACTGAGTTTTTCGGGTTTCGACACCCTGAAACATCGTGAAATTCGATAAAAATAATAAAAAGATATTTTTATCACAATAACTTTTACGCCTACATCTTTACTCTCATGAGGGCTGAATTACATCTCCCAAACTTCTAAATTAAAGGAAATTAGATTAAATATTCAAACAATAATAATTACCATAAATAAATTTAAAGAATGTAAAAAAAGTCCGTAAATATTTCAACGATTTAATAAGTAATTGTAGTCATGAAATTAATAAACATTAGCATTTCCTCGTACCTTTTTGTTATACCTTTTACCTATACGTGAAAATATTGTCTGAGCTTTCATTCATGTACCTTGCTTTAACAATAAAAATGAAAGGCGTAAACATAATAGTGTTAGAGCAGCCCTAATATCAACTTTCTGGCACTATCCAAGACTTAGAAAAACAGTAACGATCGTTATTGTAAATCAATGCCATAATATTCTGTTTATTTAGAAAAGTTTTTAGAATGTTTCTGTCTAAAAACTAAAGTTAACTGTTTTGCACTTTTACCTTTAAATGAAATAAAATACTATAATAAATTATATTTATTGAGATTTGTTCTGAAATAACTCCACTAGTTTTGTTATATTATAAATAAAAAGATCGAACACAGAAAAATCTTCGTCGACCCGGTGGGACTTGAAACCACGTCCATGCTTTACAAAAAAAAAACCTTTGTGTTCGATTCGCTTTGGGTTCATAATAATAACAAAACAGTAGAGTTATTTCATAAAAGATCTCAATAAATACATTTGATCGAAAAGCGACATTTGCGTTACTTGTGATACCTGTATAGGTATCGGTTGCGGTGAGAAGGTTATTAAAAAATCTCTCACTAGATGTCACTAGCGGCGACGAATGCCGAAAGTCAGTAAAAAGATCTACAAAACAAAAACACACAGGAGAATTTATACGACTCGGTAACTGGACCCGTGGCTCAGATGGTTAGAACAATGCTACGGTGCGACACGGACGTGGGTTCAAGTCCCTTCGGGTCGATGAAAATTTTTCTGTGTGTTCGATATATTTCCAAACTAAACGAGTGTCTATTGACCTTAGAAAATAAGACCTTCTGTAGTTCTGTAGTAGTGTAGTTCCTTCTAATCCAATAAAGTTGTATGTATAAATATATATATTCTATTACAAATTCCAGATACGGACAACCAACGCGTCATAATCCACGTAAAGGACGTCAACGACGAGCCCCCGTACTTCATCAATCGACCACTTCCGATGCAAACTGTAGTTCAACTGAACGCAGCTCCGAACACTCCGGTTTTCACCTTGCAAGCTAGAGATCCTGACACTGATCATAATATACATTATTTCATTGTGAGGGATAGGACTGGTGGACGGTTTGAGGTTGATGAGAGGTCTGGAGTCGTCCGAACGAGGGGCACTGACCCGTTTCAACTGGATATGGAATACGTGTTGTACGTTAAGGCTGAGGATCAGGTGAGTATTTTGACACCTTATGCAATGATCTGTGCTTATTTTTTAAATGATCTGGTAGACCATCCTGAGGCAGTAGCTCGTGCCAGAGAGATTCTGGCTGAAAATCAGTACTGTCGAAACCAATTTGTGTCTGCACACCATATATTGAGTTCAGAATCCTCGCCACACAGTAATTCATTAAGTGCAACCAAAGTTATTGTTTTTGTTTTAGTTATTATCTATATTATCTATATGTAAGACTTTTTATCGTGGGCAGAAATGGGTTAAAACCATTTTTACATGAAAATTGTTAGAAATTTTGATGCAAAAAATCTTTTTTAAACAAAAAAGGGGCATCTCCACGAAATATCTACCTTGCAATCCTGCGGATTCTCACTTACTACTAGGGATGCACATTACGATTCGATTTTTATGAAAATCGATTCAAGTGTATACGATAACGGGTTTTTGTATAGATTCAATTTAATGCGATTTTCAAGCGAAATGCTTCAATAGAAAGGCGAAATTAGTAAGCAAGCAATAAATATTTTGTAATAATATTGTATTCGAACTAAACTCAATTTACAAAATATGTAGTTGTAAATAATTTTTGCTCTCCATTTCGGGCATTAATGACAATCGCTATAGATACACCTCTAAAGTAGCGAAAAATACGGTTCTAAACTAATGCGTGGAATACCCGATTTTATTCCCGCGATTTGAGGGGGCCTCCCATAGTAAAACTAGTCAGTTAATTGTTATGAACATTGGCTGGATGTTAAAAACAACTCTTGGTATACAACTCCTGAATTATATTACATTACATTTTTAAAAGGGTGCACACTTTTTATGGGGTTTATTCCATAAAAAAATATTAACAGGCTATCTAAATGAATTATCATAGCCGTTTTTCTTTTTTTTTGTAGAATTACTGACAAGTATTTTACCTACAACGTTACATATTTTTGTCCATTTAAAGAATTTAGATTTTTTTTCAAAGGATAACTCCGTAGTTCATCTGTGTTATGTAAAATTTGTCTTAAGATATATTTGACCAATTTCAGAACGGGCGCATAGACGAGCGACGGTTCCAGTCGACCCCCGAGGAACGGCTGAGCATCGTGGGTGGAAAGAGAGCTCCTCAATTCTACCTGCCCAGCTACGAGGCCGAAATCGCTGAAAATCAGAAAAAGGACTCTGAGTAAGTGGCGCTATATTTTACCGAATAAAAAAACAGGATTTTCTCAGTCGTCGATTGTAGACTTGTGCTTGCACGGTCGTCAAAGTGAGTGAGATCTAGTTATATACAATGATATTATACAGCATCAATAAGTCAACTGAACAAATTCGGTCTTTTAGTTTTTTAGTTCGTGTTGTCCATGCTCGGACGTTCAACTCTCTAAACTAGTGAATCTATTCAAATGAACTACTTTGGACTTCTATTAGGTCAATTACTATAGTAAATGTTTAAAAGTACAATTTCGTATGGAATCGGTACTATTTGATTAACCTGACAAATAGATAACCTGACAAATAGTTGAGTGTTACGTGTTAAATACTTAAACGGGCTGGCAACGTTCAGTCGTGAATCTCACTTGTACTAAAAGCGGTGAAAGATCGCTAATTATCCCGTTCGCGCAACGTTCTCCATGAACTAAAAGACCGGTGAATTGTTAAGTTCGACTAGTGTTTTGCTCCGCAACGCAGACAGTTCCTAGTTTCTACTGAACTAGAAAGACCAGTGAACTATTTAAGATCTTGCAAGAGGAACTAGTTCGTTTCGGTCAGTGTCGGGAATTCATTCGTAACAGTTCTTAGCTATAGACCATATTTATCTAAACTTCAAATAATGTGTTACATATAGGAACTAATGAAATTCCGAAATAATTAACAACAAAAAGCAAAACAATATATGTAGTAATATTTTTACTTACAATTCAACAAAACATTTAAATCAACTATCGTAGTGTAGCAATTACTACAAACATCATTAATACAGAAATACACTAATTCCTGGATGTCAGAAATTAGTGTGATCACGTATTATCTTTTACACCAGTGACCAATTTCGATTTTTGCTAAATAGGACGCTGTTCCAATGCCTAGAATTACACTATTGAACCAATTTCGACGACTTTTATTAAATAGGACAGGTATTATATCTGGGAGAAATTAGTTAGAAATAAATTTCTCGTCTATTATATCTGCCATTTACAGTCTGCTCAAGCCAAACACAAGCCTCTCCAAAAGAAAGATAGTAATCGTCACCCTTGATGAGTGTGTGCTGACAACTGCATCGCAGTAAAAGTGCAAAAAGTCATGAATATCGGAAGGTCTTTCGTATACTAAATTATAATTATGCACTAAATCTAAATAAATCATTAAATACATCTAACCAAAAAATTTTTGTCAAATTCCAGTATAATATCAGTGAAAGCGAAATCGTTTGCTGATCGTGAGATCCGATACACTCTAAAGGCGCAAGGGCAAGGAGCTGGCACCTTCAACATTGGGCCCACGTCAGGCATTGTCAAGCTGGCCAAAGAACTAGATTTTGAAGATTTGCGACAGCCACATGTGTATTCTCTGGTTGTCACCGCTACAGAGGATTCTGGTGGTTTTTCGACTTCGGTTGAGGTGATTATTATTTTGATTTGTTTCTTTATTATACGAAACTTTCACTTGTGTGAACTGTAAAGGAATATAATTGATTCAATTTCTCAATCTACTGATATAATACAGTATACTCTGTCGCAGATTCTACTTATTTCTACTGCAACAGTTAACAAGATGATTCTGCAAGGCTTGTTTACTTTTGATCTTTTTTATGTATTTAAATATCATTGACTTTTGAAATATGCTGTACACACTGTAGTCGTTAATTTTGTTCACAAATTAATATCACTTTTCAAATTAATTTCAGTTAACAATAAGAGTGACTGATGTAAACGACAATGCTCCGAAATTCGAGCTACCTGATTACCAGGCGCATAACGTCGACGAAGACATTCCTCTAGGCACGAGCATCCTCAAAGTCAAAGCTATGGACGCTGACTCCGGGAAGAACGCCGAAATCGAGTATTTAGTTTCAGGTGACTGTCAGAAATATATATTTTTTTATTATGTTGTGGTCCATATCAAGACCTGGTATTACAGATTGTATGAGAAATATTTTAGGAAAGGAACCTACTAGCGCCATCTAGTATTTCGATAAAGATTTTCTTTGCGTTCTAGAGTTCGTTTCGTTTTAACGCCATCTATTGTTGTTGAATGGAACCATTCTCATGCCTCAGCCGTATGAAATTTGAAACTTGTCCGCGCCGTTTGCCTTTGTCTCAGTTCGTAGATTTTGAGTTTTGATAGTCGTAATCCTATTTGAGCTATGCGTTTCTAATTTAGTTGTTTGTGATAACATTTCCAGATGATCACTTTAGTGTGGATTCCAACGGTATAATCACGAACAACAAGCAACTAGACGCTGATAATAACAATGCTTACTACGAATTCAGCGTCACTGCGAAGGACAAGGGAGAACCAGCTAAGACCGGGACAGCTACCGTTAGAGTTTATACTAAGAACAAAAATGACGAAGAACCTAAATTTTCTCAACAAGTGTACACACCTAATGTAGATGAAAATGCTGGCCCTAATACTCTAGTGACAACTGTCGTAGCTTCTGACAAGGACGGTGATAATGTAAGATTCGGATTTGTCGGAGGAGGCACAAGCTCAGGACAGTTCGTTATAGAAGAGATCACCGGTGTAATTCGACTTCATAATAAGGCAATATCACTAGATAGAGATAAATACGAATTAAATGTAACAGCAATGGACGATGGAGCATGCTGCGTCAATGGGGATGCTACAATACACACATCTACGGCTGTAGTTGTTGTATTTATCACAGACGTAAACGATAATAAACCTATCTTCAAAGACTGTCCTACGTATTTCCCGAAAGTTGAAGAAGGCGCACCTAATGGTAGTCCTGTCATCAAAGTACACGCGACTGACGAAGATAAGGGTGTAAACGGACAAGTTAAATACTCTATAGTACAACAACCAAACCAGAAAGGAACGAAATTCACCGTAGATGAAGAAACAGGAGAAGTATCGACGAATAAGGTGTTTGATAGAGAAGGTGACGACGGAAAGTTTGTTTCGGTGACTGTAAAGGCAACTGACCAAGGCGAACCCTCCTTGGAAGGTGTGTGCTCATTTACCGTCGAAATCACAGACGTCAATGACAACCCACCCTTATTCGATAGACAAGTGAGTTATCTTTTTATAGTAGTTTGCACATTGCATGATTTTTGTCTGCACTAAGAGTAGTCTATAAAATGTACATATTTATGTGTATTTCAGAAATATGTGGAGAATGTAAAACAAGATGCCAGTATTGGCACTAATATTTTGCGAGTATCAGCATCTGATGAAGATGCCGATAACAATGGAGCTATTGTATACACTCTAAGTGCTCCCTACAATCCTGCAGATATTGAATACTTTGAGATCCAACCCGAATCGGGGTGGATCGTACTTAAGAAGCCTTTGGATGTAAGTTTTCTAAATATTCTAAATGACCTAGATGTAAGTTAGTACTTACAAATATTCCTAAGTGTGGGATTGTGACTAGAGTGATGCATGAAAGGGACAACTTTATTGAAAAGTTTGGTGGATGAGTGCTACCTACAAGCCCTAGGATTCAATTGGCACACACTTTAGTTATTTACCTGTAAATAGTTCTAAATTGACTGCTGCTGTAAATTGCTATGAAGAGGGGTAATCCTGGGTACGAGGAGTAGTTGTCCATTGAACAGCAGCGCTGCGGCGCGGCGACGCGGGGGCGGTGGCGCGGGCGGCGCGGGGCTTGTTCTTCTTCAGCACTGTTAGTTTCAGTTGCCGCCGGCGCCGGCTCCGCACACGATCTTCGTTAATATTTATTTCCGCAGCACCTATACTTGCATACTATCTTACCGATAATACGACTTGTGTACAAATACTAAAACAGTGAAAATACTGCTGTAAATATTTCACCGTTGACTCCTATGTTTAGTTCTAAAACATGTACAGTTTCTGTAAGAGCACTCCTGTATATTTCGCACAAACTAGTTTTGAAGTTTATTTTATTGTAAGTACCTATTCGATTAATTGATTTCAGAAGCTTACGCTTTGGATCATACCTTTCAGTATTTTATGTATGTACATGTTTTGTTACTAATCTCCAGTTTTGCTTTTGCGGAGAGCGATTATCGCAATGGGCAGTTCAATTCTGCTCTTTACTTTTTTCGTGTGTACACGACTACTCATACTGCATCCATTTGCTATAGTAATATCATGATAATAATGAAATTTTTTACAGGGCGGCTGTACCATATCGATATAAATTGTATAATATTAGTTAGTAATACCTTGTGATGGTCAGATTGCCGGCTGGCAGTTTGGCCATCAGGCCAGTTGTGACATTATTCCTTCTGTGAAAGGGGCAACGTCTCGCGAGTCCAAATTTGTACAGTATACCGTAACGTCCATCGTTTGTAATATATTCATTTCAATGAGTGTCGTTTCGTTGTAGTGGTACGAGGTCGCTAAACCACCTTTGACAACCTGACCTTTCCGCCATGTCTTGTATGCAGAGCTGCATGCATTGCCTGCTTTTCGTTACGTTCTTTTAGTTTTTAAATTAGTTTAGTTTATTATTGTACAAAGTAATTATAATGTACAGTTTGTCTTTTTCCTTAATGTACAGATGAACCTTGTAAAATATCATCAACGATTTTATTTCCATTTTTATTTCTTGCACCACTGAATATTGGCTACCATAATGGATGCTATTGTAAGTACGAGTATGTGTGGAAGGTGGTGCGCAAGTCGACGCAGCGGCAGACGACGAAAGAACATACATCCTTTTAAATTATCTGTAACATTCTTTTGTGTAACATTCTTCTCATCTATTGTTTTAGTTTAGCTTACTGAATGTGCGCGAGACGAATGTTCGTTTATTTTATTTATTCATTAAACATCTTTAAATAGCCAATAGTTAAGTTATGTGAAAGTGGATCGATACTTAATTTATTTTTAGGTTATTGATTTTGTTGACCGTTTATTAGCAATGAGTATTTATGTGTTTTATGTTTTGTTGTATTATGTTTTGTTCTCCCCGCTGACCTCTGACCCGTGTATCTGTAGCGGGACAGGTACCGACTGCGCGTGCGCGCCTCGGACAGGGGCGACCCGCCATCCTCTGCAGACGTGGACGTTGAATTAGATGTGGTAGACAGGAACAATAAGCCCCCCATCTGGGACATGTCCACGTATGGCCCCGTTCACATCAAAGAGAATGTCACAGTGGGTACCGTAGTGACCAGTGTGAAAGCAAGGTTGGTATAAGGCGCAGCGGGTCTACGGACCCGCCGCTCCTCCACTCCTTAACACTACTAACGACGTGGTTTTGTCTGTTTCCATCGACTCTTTCCCCACTAGCGAGAGACATACAAGTTGGAGGCTATGGCTCAAGACAAGGGCTTCCCTCCCTTGTCCCGAACCGTGGAGGTCCAGATAGACGTAGTGGATCGCGCGAATAATCCCCCTGTGTGGGACCACACAGTGTACGGCCCGATCTACATTCGAGAGAACTTGCCCGTGGGCGCCAAAGTCGTTTCCGTGAAAGCAAGGTGCGTGTCTAACTGTTCGGCACGGGCACCGCACGCAGCCCCGTCACCTGCACGCAGTGCGACGCCGTGGCGCCTCACACCCGCTCATGTTCTTCGTCCACACTAAACTATTCACTGATTCGAACAAATCACCAATTCATTACATTCTATTGCAGTCTTTACACTATGTGTACGTGGAGCTGTAATTGAATGTTTGGATACTATAGTTCAATACAGTGATTCTGAATTGTTTGGTGGCTGTTATCGGTTTTTGTGACCGAGACAGTCAGCGAATCATTCATGTTTAGTTTGAATGAAGATTTGGGGCATCCTACTACAAGTGTTTGTGCGCCGCTGTTGTCCTCAACTGTCGTTATTATTTGCCTCTCACTCGGTGATTTGAACGATTACCTATCAATAATGTCAATGTTGTACTATCAAAAGCATCGTCACGAAAACACGCGTTTGTGCATCACCAGCGTGCATTGAAGGGCTCACTGCTTTCGTGGAACGGGTATCACCATTGTACTGTTCAAAAACATCTGTAATTTAGAGCAATGAATCAGTAATGTTGGATGTTTTTGAACATAGCGTGAGAGGTATTAGGTAACAGTTATAACGAACGTCCGTGTCGATTGTTATTTGCATGTAGGCTGCGGCATCCGTGCATTATGAGTCGCTCCATTTGTCTCCAGTTTATGAGGTCTTTTATAAATGACAACTCAGCATGAAATGAACTGTATTATGTGTTTAGTTCGTAGAGTTGCGTAGGAAACTTCATTTCCTTTTAAAATTTATTTTTACTTTAGAGTGCTTGAAATTTTATCATTTAGTTGGCATTGATGTGAAAATTCAAATTCCAATTAATTAATTTTTAGAAGAATAGGTCGTTTTTTTTTTGATCATTCTCCGTTTGTAAAGATCTTGTGTCTGACATTTTAATTAGGTACTTAGCTAGATATTTTGTACCCACATATCGTTTTAGTGACAAAACTTTTAAAAATTTATAAATTACTTTATCCTAATTTTATTTAAGTTAAATTTATCCGGTATTTAGTTCATCTTTTCCCGTTTGGGTCGTTCTATATTTTGCATTCCCATTAGGGATAAAAAATTAAAGAATATGAAACTTACAGAAGAAAAAAAAATCATCAACAAATATCCTTGCGCCTTTTGAAGGCTATAATGAATTGGTACTTTCTGAGCGAGCATCCTCGACCACAACATCGCTTACCATCAGATGAAATTGTGGTTAATTGCTTGGTAGTAACTTATTAAAACACACAAAAAAATATTGGGTTAACGACAGGAACGCAGTAAGTATGAAAATTGGTGTAGGTCATGGTAAACATATTATAATACAATGTGTACGAATACATTGTTAGTCTTGCATCAATTGCTTAGTAGTAACTTATTAAAACACACAAAAAAAATATTGGGTTAACGACAGCAACGCAGTAAGTATGAAAATAGGTGTAGGTCATGGTAAACATATTATAATACAATGTGTACGAATACATTGTTAGTCTTGCATCATTTCGCTCTGGTGGCAAGCCTGGTGTCTACAATCACAAATAATTGGATCTTAGTTCTGGTACGGGTATATTTTTGCAGATTACATAGATATTGATATTGATATATATTGTCAACTACTTACATTAAGATTTGTTAATTCCATTTTACTCCTATCATATATCTACATCTTGTTGTATATCCATGTCTTTATAAATCATCATCTAGATATTTTTCCAAACATGTGATGTCCATTTATTTCTGTATCTATTTTTCAATTTTTTTTTACACTCACTACACTTCTACCATAGTATAATAAGACAAGTATGGCAACTATATGCAAACGTAGCAGCGCAGTATGAATGTGTGCGTGCGCACCTGACGAACGAACGAACGAACGAACGAACGAACCGGACGAACACATTCGCATACTTTCGCGATTCATTCATGTTACATAGCGCTGGTCGTCCGATGACGCGTCTTTCATTATTATGCGAATGTGTGCGTCCGTACACGGCGAGCAGCGGGCGTACACATATAAGCGGTGTTGCCGCGTATGAATGGAGTTACCATACTTGTCTTATTTTTAGAACTATTTCTAATCAAAAAGTATTTTATAAATAGGTCTAATGTATATGCAAAAATAGATCCAAACAACTAAGCGTCCACAGCGGCCTGATGTTACCACAATCACGAGTGCTAATGGCCTGGTCACACTGTCTATCTGCGCGCCCTATCTAAACCACACACTTCATACTCACACAACATAAGGACGAAACCATACTAACTCACTTTACTAATTGTTACTTTTAGTTTGTTGAAGCAACTCATTTGCACGCGACAATCAATATGGTTTAAAACCGACACTCTCGAAGCACGAAATCTGTAGTTACGGCCGTTTTCCCACTGTGGATACAGACTTGAGTTTTGATCGGGGGAGAACTGAGAATGTACGACAATGCGATTTGACAGTTTCGAGTGGGCCATTTGACAGTTTCGAACTTCTTCGTCTTTTCGTTGATGGACTTGAAGAGTAGTTCCGTAGGTCATTCATTGTGGGTAAAAGGCCGTAATTACGAATTTCATCCTTTGAAAGTAAGGCCCCAGTTCTCAAAAAATCGCCATTGACGAGATGTGGTATATAATATCGTTTAATTGATTTGAAATAACTAATTTAGCACAAACTCGTTAATTTAGATATATTTTTATAGCAATGAATGTAACTTTGAACAAATGGAAAACGTAAAACATTATTGCACGTTGCAAATGAGTTGTTTATTCACTATTTATAAGATAATTTTGTTTTTATATTTAAAATTTTGAAACTTAAATATGCGTTATGTTTCAGTGTTCAAACATTAATGAAAGTCCCTCAAGATTTATATGGCCGTAATCACAAGCATTTGAAATTTTTAATTTACAAACTGTTAATTAAAAGCTATTTGTTTGTTTTTTCAGTTTGTGTCTTATGCCTCTTTAGATGTTTGATTGTTTATTTTTAGTCGATGAAATAAGTGGGAAGCTTTAATATAATGTTGTACTTGCAGCTCGGGCATTGAGAACAACCCGACCGTGTTTTACCGGCTGATGCCCGGATCTACTGCTCAAACGAACAAGTTCCACACTTTCTATTTACAACAAAGAGCCGACAATGGGTTCACTTGGGCAGATATAAAGGTTAATCATCCGTTGGACTACGAGAGCATCAAGGAGTATAATCTGACGATCCGTGTAGAGGTGAGATGACCAAATTAGAAGGGCAACTTATTTTTTGGCTTATGTTTGTCTTTGACGTCACTGTTTTTTACCATTTTTAATTATAATCAGTGATATGAATTGAGGGAGTTAATTTGGTGAAAGTAAAGAATAGTTTGGACATTCCGTTCTATAAATTGCGGGAGTTTTCGGAACTGATTATATTTCAATATGCGTATTATTTATTTAAATTTGAGTCCATAGGCGACAAATTATTATGTATTATTAAGTATTTGCTACAAACCATTGTCTCAAAAAATAATATTGCACTTAGTTGTGTTTTTATAGTTGCTTACGCATATTAAATACATGAGCCATTTAAAAACTAAATGTTACAACCATTATTTTGGAAAGTTTAGAAAATAAACAGCAAAAAAAAGAAATTTTATACGCAATGACGAAATGGGTATGTCCGTACTAAGAATACGAACGTATTCTTAGTATGGTACTTTAGGTAATAAATTACTCCCTCAATTCCGACCACTGGTTATAACATACATGCAAGTAGTATCATTCGAAAATATAATTTAATCCTTGCGTAATTTACAATGTTGGCCTAGGTAAAAAAAAGTATATAAGGACACGCTTTTGTTATGTCTGTCTGTCATTAATAATAATAATAATAATAATAATAATAAATTTATTTGTGTAAACACACTGCGTCCGGCCAAACATAAGAGCATAAGGCATACAAACGTTGAATGTATACATTCACTCACATGTACTTCGACCGACTAAACGTGTAACATGTTTCTTTTTCAATAATACTACTATAATATAATAATACGTAAGTAGACACATGGATTTAATAAGCCGGTCAGTAATTTAAACGCGGTGATAGCTACATGGGTCAATTTTAATGGTAACTACGTATCAAAATAATAATATGAATAACGTCAAAATAAATATACAAATGTCAAAAGTTACACAATTAATTTAGGGATTTATCATTCGAAAATTCGGACACTTTATATACATATATAGTACATTTATTAGTCAATAATTGTTTAATTGTTTTAAATAGCATAAGGTTTTTCTCAGACCTTAGTACTTTCGGTAAATTATTGTAAATTTTGGCGTCATTACAAAAATACTTTTCTGCGTGAAGGTAGTTTTGATTGAGTTTGAACATCGCTTCAGAGTTCGCGTGAACAAGTGGGTCGAAGATCTTTAAAATGTGGTCTGCACCTGCAAACCATATTTTAAAGAGCTTCGACAATTGCTCTGACACATCCTTTTTGTGCCTTAAAAAACTGAGTTCACATTAGTTGCATTGCCCCAGAATAGTATACCGTATCTTAATATGGACGCAACATAACTTATAATATTAATGTAAAATAAAAATCAAGCGTTTCAATTACAATTTTATGTTAAAATAATTACAACTTTTTCTTATAAACCGACCGCAAAAGTTTGCCGCTATTGCTGTGTTCGTTAGTCGTTCGAAGTCCTTCAAAACTAATCATAGAAACCCGAATCCAAGGCAGCTGATGTACACTGTTAACGAGTTCCTATCGTCTGTCTGTCATTTCCATTATCGAATCAGCTCTTTTTATTGGAATTACAGCTTTGTGACAGGTTTTATTGAATTCGGTTAGCGGAAAATAAGTGAAATTCAATAAACCGAATTCATCTCTAATTTGCGACCTTTAGAAGAGAAATATTTTCTTCAAATTTGATTCGGACCTCTACCCTTCCAACAAAATGGAATCATCTAAATCGGGTCGCAAAGGCGTAGTAATCGCGCGCCACATATAATAAAGAAGAATTGAGAATCTTTTTTGTAATCTTTAAAAAATTCACGAAACGTATTCCATAAAAACTGATTTATATCTTTGACGCACGCACTCATAGTCCCGCACTAGGGAAGCCCTGTATCGCCGGTGTCATGGATACACACATAGACAGCCACAATATATAGTGTTTTTTTGTTAAATGGGACAGTATGGCGAAATCCGAAACCATAGAAGATACAAGGAAGTTGTGTAGTATTTGTGAAAACAATTTTGGCATAGACAATTTTTTGATCAAGCATGAGCTGTCAAAAATGTAAAAATAATTGTGTGAATAAATTTGATCAAACTTGTCCATTAGAATTCGAAACGGTTAGTCAATTTTATTCATTTTGTATGAAAAAATATTTTATGAAATTTGACCAACTTCTGCTGTCCCGATTATTTTTCGTCCCATACAATGAAATGATCCCTTCATGAAACTGAGTGGATCAGCACTAAAAAAATTTTGGTTAATTTTATTCATTTTTATGGACAACTCACACCTGTCCAAAAAATTGACTATGCCAAAATTGTTGTCACAGAAAAGAATGGTTTAATGGTTTCTAAGACGGTTTTCTTGTATCTTCTATGGTTTCAGATTTCCCCACACTGTCCCATTAAAAAAAACTGTTATAATAAATAATACTCTACATGTCAATCGTTCGTGCAACTGTTTTCTGTGTTTGTTTTAAAAAAAAAACTTCTTTATCGAGTTGTTACATACACGCGCACTTGTTAACCTGGCCTCTTTTCTACAGAACAACGGTGCACAACAACTGGCTTCAGAAGCGACGGTTTATATAATGCTGGAAGACGTCAACGATGAAATCCCCCTCTTCACTGAAAGAGAACAGGAGACTGTCCTGGAAGGAGAACCCATCGGGACTAAAGTTACGCAGGTCAACGCTATCGACAAAGACGGCACTTTTCCTAACAACCAAGTAAGTCTTCTTATCAAATCAAAATAATTTATTTTAGACTAATTAGATGCTATAATAATATAATTAAAATTATGAATTAAAACAAATAAATAAATAAATTAAACTAACAATAAAAACTAATTATGAATAACATAAGATTGTCAATATAATAAATGAAAACAAAACAAATCTATTTATCATTAAAAATTAAAATTTAACAATAACACACAAAATAAAATTGATTAAAAAAATAAAATAAAATAAAATTTAGTATTATATACCATTTGAGACAGAGAATGTGTCAGGAAATGTTAAAATCATAAAAGATCGTAAACAAACAACAGAAAACAGCTGTAATTTGGACTGAAGTAATATCAGGTAATGTTTACATAATTAGACAAGTTAGATACCTTATTTTTTTTACACTGGTGAGGGAACAACTAGAAGTAAAAAAAAAAATGTATTCATTACACACATATAATGAAAAATATACTTATTACACATACTTAATATAGGTAAACTGTTTTGTACTCCGTAAAATTAAGTTAGATTAAAACGACCGGTCGACGAAATTAGGGCGACATAAATTTATAGCAAAGTTCTACAAATACATATTTACTTATTAATATACGATAATTGAATTCACAAATTCTTGGTAAATGACTTTTTGAGTTAATTACACCAAGGCATTTATTTACACAACTTCACGTCATTATGACTCAAGATCTAAGGATTGAAACAAGACTAGTCGTGAGGTGTTAAAAATCGGTCGAGTTTTTTGAATAGGCATTAAAAGATGTTTGATAAGTCTTCTTCATCCGTACAATTAAATTTTTCAGTCGAGAAATATAATGTTACTTGAGTGATTTTAATTTCTTGTAAATTGCTCGTATTGTTTTGACCTACGATGTGTTATTTTCTGTTAAGTTGTATATTTTTGGTGAATTTTTATTCAATGTAAATTATTATACTATTATTTAGATACACACATTAACAAATTTATTGGTGGTGTCACGCCTTTTCGACATTATTCACGGGGCGAATTCTAGTAATGACTTATTGAGTTGATTTCAGTTATTAGTGATTAAAAAAATACACTGATTAAAATTAAGATATCTGATTAAATTAAATATTGTTACATAATTTGATGTCGTGATTCAGTCGATATATTTTAACATCGATTCTCGATTTCACTATTCGCGTCTCACCAGACTCTTCACTAGTTCATGAAGTTTGACATTTGACATTCAAACCAAGCTAATTTTTTTTGGCAGTATGACTAAGACGCCTTAGCCTGTACCGAATGACGAAAATTTTACAACCAAAATAAATTTTACGGAGTACGTTATTATAAGCTAATAAAAAACATGTACCTATATAAATATTTTAGATACATAGTTATAATATACAAATACACTGAGAGAAGACGACAAAACAAATCAGGATGACAATTTATTTTTTTTATTTCGCTGTACCCAAGGCAGTTATTAAAGTTTATCTTCAGGCCTTGTACTCTCGTTCTCCGTCCAATATCCGTTCGAAACAATTACTGTCAAATAAGTAATACTCGATCAAATTAAAAAAAACTCTTGATGCAAAAGAAGCTTCATACCTTGACATTGTGTTTTAATTTGGTCTAGTATTACTTATTTGAAGTTTATTGTTTCGGACGAATGTTGGACATGGAACGAGAGTAGACCCCCAGAAACAGAGCGTACAAGAGCATTGTTCCAATGTTTTTTTTTTTGTTATATCGACTATAGGGCGTAAAGATGTTAAACTGTTGAAGGTTAAACTGGGTACCTATATACTAAATCTATGCGTTAAACTGTTGGTTGCTGAAATTTTATTTTTCGCAGCTTTCGTTTTAGTAACTACTGGACGTCAAGGCCTGACCATAGAGACACATTTGTTAAGGTATAGTTTCGAGCACATTGTCTCTAGAGACAGTGACGCCGTGTTAATGAAGCCGATACAGTGCCAGTTTATCCTTTACTTCGTCTTGTCTACGGTTACTTTAAAACACTAGGTATATTTTAGTAACAGTAGAACTCCTTGTGAAAGAGTTTATCCAGGCAAATACTGCCTCATTGCCGTCAAGCAGTAATGTGAGCATACTGCGTTCCGGTTTTGAAGGGTAATGGTGCTGGTGAAATTATAGGCACATGAGATTAGTCAACTAATGTCTCGGGTCACGGGCACAGTGCCAGTGCCTCTTAGATCTTTGCGATTTAAAGCTCTGAGTGACACTGCACCGGCTATGGACAGGCGTGTCGCTTACCATCAGGAATACGACTTGTTCGTCCCGAAAAGAATATCCACAGCTACTGAAAGGCTACTACTACATTTCTTTGGTGGCGGCCTATGTCCAGCAGTGGACGTTTCTCGGCTGGTATCATGAGTGCCTCTACCATGAGATTACAGTGACAGTTATTACAAGCGAACGCGTAAAATGTTTATATACAAAATGTTGTTTCTTCTTGTGACCGGTAGAGGCGCTGTATAATTTGCCATACAAAATTGTTAACTAATTTACGCGGTTGCTAGTGACAGCTGTCGTAAATAAACTCGTGGTAGAGGCACTGAGTTATTTATTAAATGGAAAGTTTTTACATTGAAAACATTATTTACAGAAAGAGCTCAGATGTTTAAATATCCTTCCTGTCAAAGCGAGGTACTATCAAGGGGAGGGTTTAAGCCCTTGTCCGCCATACTGTGCGGGTTGATTTTGTGGTCATGTTCTGTGAATACTCTCCGATGTGTAGGTTTCACCATTATAATAAGTGATAGTTGGTAAATTAATTAGATATTATTCTAAAAGACTCTAACGCAGGCTCGTCTGTGGAATTCGAACCAATGACCTCCTACATAGAAGTCAACTGCTCAACTAAATAGCTATAATTGCTTCGTATTATTAAAAATCAGTACAGAGTACTAAAAAAACCGACCTGAAAAGAAATTCATCCCCTAGTTTGCCACCTTTAGAGGTGGAATATTTTCTTGAAATTTAATGGGACCACTACTAAGGTACCCTCTTTCCAACGAAAAAGAGTCACCAAAATCAGTTCACAAATACCGGAGTTATCGCGTAACATACATACAAATAAAAAAACATACAGTCGAATTGAGAACCGTCGTGTGAATTGAGTGAAAAAAGTGAAGTGAGAGTGCGAAAAGTCGGTTAAAAAACCAAATAAAGCCTTTTCTGCCTTTTTTCCTTTACGAATTAGTAAATTTCATACAAAACACGAGTAGATTATAGACAGGCATGCGTTCAATTGGTATTTTTAGGGGGTCACCCATTTATCGATGCGTAATCGGCTTGAAGCGATCATGTGTAACCACACTTGTCGCATTAAGCCCTGTTCAAACATAAGCGTTATTCCAAATATACCGCGCGGCATCCCTCCGGGTATTTGTATGAAGTTCCGCGAGTGAAAACCGAAACTACGCCATATCGTCCAGATATCTTTTAGCTTGCTTTGTAAAACAGATGTCCCCGCACGATGCGGGAGTAGTGGCAAATTTATCCCTCTCTGCAAGTCAGTTATTGACGATTAGTTAATATAATAATAATAAATGATATTGAATATTGGATTTCGCTGCTCACAGTGTTAGCGATATCCGCGTAGGTAGGTAGGTCGATTTTTCTGACCGGTTTGTCACGCTGGTCTCGTGGTTGTAAGCGACACGTCTGTCCATTTATACGTCTGTATATTTATATTATATTATATATGAGAAATGACAGTCCGAAATGTCACAGGATCATTTTATCTTTAGGTTTTTTTTTTTTTTATTTTTAGTTTATTTTATTTTCTCGGATTGGAATCGGACTTAGTGCACAAGCGACATCCGAAGTGGGTCCGAGTTTTCTAGATTTGTATAGTCTCGGATGCGGAACGACTACGAATCGGATGTAGTGCGCAAATGTGCTAATGCTCACATTACTGCTTGGTGGCAGTATTTCCTTGGACGAACTCTTTTACAAGGAGCTCTACTGCTACTAATCTTTAATCTTTGTTTTTCTAATTATAGACTTTAATACGTATCCAATTCTGTTTCTAAGTTTCTAGTAGTAGTAGTCTGTACAGTTACCGTTTTCCGAAGTACAAGCTTCGAAGCTTTTCGAGTTTTACTCTTTAGAAAATGGTGTTGAAAAGTATCTTTGCTGAACTGTATTTTAAGTTTATTTTTTCATTTCTAAGTTATTGTACCTACGATGCTATTGTGATGTGTCTAGAAGTATATTTATATGTAAACCTTCTGTAAACCAAAAATGTGAAAATAGCAACCGCGAAACGACCGTCTATTTTTGTGCAAACAATTTGCATAAAATACATATTTGCAGAACTTGTGGCATTGTCATACCGCCCTCACATGAGGCCAGGTTGACTCACGTAACAGCTTTGAGCTTCTAAAAAGGGTCCCCCTATTGTACGACGTTTATTGACCTTGAGAAGGTTCAGCCTCATCGAGTATATAGTTAGATATGTACGTACATAAAACACTTGTTCAAAGGTTAATGAGTTGGCAGGGTCCAGTTAGGTAAATCTTGATATAACGTTCTGTTTACCCTCACAGACTAGTTTGAATCGTCTAGTTTACCGAAAAGTGTCAACAAAGATATAGGAACCTATTATTATTCATTCCATTTGGTAGGTACATATACTAAATAAAATTGTGAATTAATATAAAGAAATTCAAATCCTCCTTTCTCTTCTTCTTCGATCTTGGTCGATCGGCGTAGAGCAATCTAAACGCTAGATTAGAAGGTCTCACCAAATTTTCTGATTAAAAAAACTACCATGAGACTCAGAGATATTAACTAAACTAACATATAACACATGTAAATAAGTCGAATTTTTACTTGACAATTTTCGAACCAGTCCGTGGTACTTAATCATGAGCTTCCGCGGCGATGATTCGACGAAAATCCGGTTCGAAACGTGCATAGCAAAAATTCGTCTATAAATACGTGTTTTATCCGTTACTTTAGTTAAACCAGTTTTTTATTTCAAATT